AATGTATGCAAAACCACAGTGTGAATAAAAGTTATGAAAATTTATCCTTTATTTGTCCTGGCCAAGAGGGCAACACAAAATACAACAAATATAACATATAGCAATATAACTACAAACATAAGCTCCAAATCTAGAGCTTGCAGTTGGGCAGCATGATAATAATGTGAATTGCTCTTGTAAAGATGTGCTATTTCATATGATTCAAATGAGGGAACAAAGGGTAAACAATGCATGATTTGTAATGTGAATCAGCTGATTTTAAGCTAACATAGAGTCACAACAGTAGTGGACAGCAAGAATGTTTTATGGTGCAGAGATAGTAATGGGCTTATTATCAGAACTGGTGACACCAGACGAGCAGAATTTTCCTTGCTGGCCCTTGATTCTACTCTCATGCAGGGAGGAAGATTACAGCCAAGTCCACACATCTCTGACTTTTCTGTTACCTTTAAAATGTTCTCATGCTGTGTCCAAACTCTTATTTTGGCCTTCCACTTCAAGGAGACAATGCCTGAGGCCATTAGAGGGGGCAAAGGGTTTCAGGTTCAATCTGTGGCAATGAGTTTGGGGTTGAAGGGCAGAGGTACAGCCTTCAATGGTCACTAGTCCATCACAGGGTAACACAGTCTTATATCCACACCTACAGTCAGTTTTGAATCACAAATTAACTCAAGTCAAAAGCATGACAGAGGAATATTAGAATCCAAAATGATATTAATCAAATTCTACGTTCATAAAAGTGCACAGAAAACTGAAAAACATGCATTTGTCTTTCCACACAAGCTTAATTTTTGCATACAGGAAGGGACTGCATACAGTTATATTTTTGAAACATGGAGAAGATTTATCACTAACGCAGGTTTACCCAGAGCTACAAATTGTATTGAAAACGTTTATCCAGAAGGGGGCAGCATTGGGATTCCAAAGTATCTTGCAGTGGCAGGGCTTTAAGGGATTTGGTGCCAGCTTGTCAAAGCAAATTTATTGTGGATTTTCTCAAACTGCGGTTAGGAAAAAAAACTGAAAGAAGAAGAAAAAGGATGAAACAAATGGCAAGAGAGTCTAGTTTAACTGCTTTTTCAGTTTTGGAGAGAGAGAAACATTTGGTTCTTATTATGAGAAAGAAAGTCACACAGCTGGTTGCACTGGTTATCATTATGTTTCTTGATCATGCTGGGTCAGTGTGTACTCAAATTCAAACCACTAAGGAATTTGAATGGGTGGAGCTGTACAGTCCAAATGCACTTAGAATTATTATTTTCAGCTGTGGATTTCATGTGATGGCCTGGAACAGGCGATGCATTTTCTTTTGATAATATTCTTGATCGATTTATACGTTTATGGATTTGTTCCCCCCAAAAAGTCTTCCCATGTAACAGTTCAGCATTCTCTTTGATAGATTAAATTAAAGGATAGTACAATTAGTTAATATGAGGGTGGTGATGGGAAGGAGGTAAAAATGAAGATCATTGCCAAATCGTGGGAATCATTGTCCCATCATGGAAGAAGTTGACAATGTAAGTTTTGTATTCAAGGATGTGAATGTGCATCTGTACATGTGCTGTGATATCAGATTAGCCAATACGTCTGGAGGCTGATGATTACACAGCTTGATTTTCAGAGTGAGTCATGATGCATAATGTGGACTTTCTATGAAAGAGGTTGTTTTTTCACTCATGTTAATTGCATCTGGTGTGTATGAGCTGGTTTGTGTGTGTGTGTGTGTGTGTGTCCATGCAAGTACTGAGTTGAATCAATGCAATGTGTAGTTTCTGATGCTGCGACCCAGTAATTCTTTAATCTCATTCACATAAACTGGATCAGCATGTCTTCTCAGGTGTCAAAGCATAGGGGTGGTTTAAGTGATTTGGAGACCTCAGGCAGTCGCACACTGAGCTAAGTGCCTGTGGGTTTGTATATGGGTGTGAGCCACACACACACACACACACACTGTGAATGTTACGTTTTAACATGACAGAATCATCCCACCCTTGAAAAAATAATTTCACTGAGACTGAGTGGCTGACTTTGCAAAATATGACGTGACACAACCCCCTACATTCCCTGCAATTTACCACCACTCTGCCAAGACTCGCTGCCATTACAGCTCTGCTGGAAACTCTGCCTCTCTACTCACATTTCACACTCATGGAAAGAAACAAAAACTATTTGCAGGCAATGATTTTCAGGGAGAAAATGCAGAAAATCTTTCCGTGCAGAAATGTACCCTTTCTTGTTAAAAACAAAGATGTATAGACTTAAACTTATGAGGTCTTCACTGATTAGCAGTCTCTTAGGTTGTGTTAAACCTAAATCTAAAGCTAGTTTTTCTTCATTGCCTTTAGAGGTAAGGAAGCACTTTTACACATTTTACTTGTGTTACTTTATTTATTATTATTATTATTTATTACTCAGCGAGGACAGTCAAGATTATAAACTGGAGTTAAAAGATGTGGACATGTTGGCTTTTGAGTTGAATAAAGAATCATTAGTTGTTCTTTTTTAAAAGATTAAACTAACTGAAGCATGAGTATGCCAATAGAAACAAATCAATTATATTTTTAAAATTTCTTTGTTTTTTTTTACTATTATCCTTTGTGAGATGATTGCTTTAAATATTAAACCCTTAAAAGTGTAACATTTTTACTATGTGATCAAATGTTTCCCTGCAACTGTTCACATTCTGAAACACTCTGCACAGGAGCTGCAGCAGCTGTTTCACCAGAATTTACTTAAGCAAACATTTCCCTGTCTGGTGCCACTGAGAAATTTACTGAAGTAAACATTTTTGCACCCGTGCTTCTTATGAACCCCTCCTGGTATGATCTAATATGAAAAACAGTATAAAAAAGTGATATAGTTTAGTAGGCACTTTCATTGTAACCTACAGAAAAGGCAGACGACATCTCAGTTTTTGCTTTCTTGGTCCTTTCCCTGCAGCCAAACCAGGGTTTTCTACCTCTTTCTCCAGGTAGGTTTCCTTGTTTCTAGCATTTCCTTTAAAAGGCTATATTTAGTTTCACATACTACTCTTGTAGGAGACCCAAAATGCAGTACACAGGAGATAGAGTTTGCAAACAAAAAGTGAGCTTTATTGCTGGGAGCAAGTCCAAGAAAAACTCCAAATGAGAGGAGAAACAGAATCCAAAAAACACAAGGAAGCAGAAATAACGTAGGGTCAACACAAGAATCATACATTTAAAACTAACCTGTATTCCTCATAACTGGGATCTAGATTCCAGACTGTTGCCACAGATGCTCTGGCAAATGAAGGTGCAATGCTAGACCAGGGGGGATCCCAACCTTACTGCTGCAGTTTACCTTTAGCACCAGCAGGATTCTTAAAGTAAGCTAAGGGAAGCTCTTAGTTATATTTTATGCAGCCTTCGAGTACTACAAGGAAAGAATGCATCACTGTACATTTCATTAATCCATAGTTCACATCATACTATGACAATGCATTGCTGAATGAAACCAGGAGAGCATTTCTCTTTACTTTCAGTTCATGTTGCTCCAGCTGTTATAGCTCATCAAATCTTCTTCAGCTAACTCACTATTGGCTAAGAAGAAGAAGAACAAGAAGAAGAAGAAGAAGAAGAAGAAGAAGAAGAAGAACAAGAACAAGAACAAGAAGAACAAGAACAAGAACAAGAAGAAGAAATAAACCAGAAATGACTCGTTAAAAAGATCAAACATGTTTGATGTGTGTGGATTTTCCTGTGTGGCCAACTACATTTGCACTCCAGTCATCAAAACTTTAGCATTGATTCACAAGTCATTTACACACACACACACACAAAAACCAATGAATTACTTTAATTGCTTTGCCATTGTTGTTTAATTTAGTGATAAAGGACACTAGTGCCCCAGTGAGGGTAGTCATTCTCACTCATATTTAATATGTTGCCAGTATACACGCCTGTGTGGCTGCTTTTGAGAGTATGTTGACTTCTGTATACCTGAAACATATTATCATGTGTGTCTCCATCACATTCCATGGTGATCATGCGTGTTTATATGTGTGGATTCGCTTTTTAAATATGTAAGGAGAAGATGGTTATTGAGAAAGTGTATTTGGGTTTTTTGTTTTTTTTGTGATGGGGTGATGTAGATCAGAGTGGAATAACGAGAT